ATAAACAAACGGGGAAACATTCATTGAAACAGTAATGATAAGAGAGAAAATGTTTCTGAAATTTGGATACAGATAGATATCCTGAATTTCTGAAAGTTCGTTGCAGGCTGATGAGTTTAAGGTGTTAATTTAGTATTTACTAGTTTTATTATGTGTATTAAACTCTATATGGATTTGTTTCAAAGTTATGACATGTTTTTCAATGATCTATGTGAAGATGTCCGTCAATAAGCAAAAGGAATAGAGCATGTACATGAAGCTGAGGCAGTGAAATGATGGCTGGCAAACAGTTTATGTGAGGTGGTATTTGACACTATTACTGTCTGTTGGTAGGAGGGAAATGCACTTTGAGAAATATGAATGTTTACAAAATGATGTTCAGTGACAATTCCCTACAATGTGTGAAGCCCAAGTATGGTGTCCCTCGACGTGAAATGGTTGGAATATTGCTGAAAGTAGCATAAGACCATTCTCTCTCTCTTTCTCTTTATCACTTGCTTACTCACTCACTCACTGTCTTGCTCTCTTTCTCACTCACTCACTCACTCACTCATCAGGAGCATCTAGGTCTTTTCCTTTTGGGGATAAACTAACAAAAACATTTGCTAATGAAAAAATAACATTCCCCTCACAACTTGATTTGTGCACCTTCACTGACCACATGAACAGTGCCTGCGGCTGTCCCTAGCAACCATCATCAATTAGTTGCTGTAGTAGATTCACAGCAAATTCAATTCCAGAAATGAAACAAAAATTTAATTATCAATCAAAAGAACATGGATTTCATGTAAGATCGGAACTGATAAGAATATTCATGATTTCATGTCTAACCTCTGATGTCGACGGCAAGCCTCGGTTTATCATCGGACGTCAGTGGTTACGATTTGATGCAATATAATATGTCTGCAGTGCCATTTTATCTGAAGGTGATCTCTGACAATGTACGTCTGCTCTTATGATGATCACGTCTGCCTATCTGTACATCAATGTTAGTTTCAATGACACATGTCGAGATCGCAATCCCTATCTATGAGTTCAGCTGCTACAAACAGTGGCCGGGATCGGGGTAGTGTTTACATGTGCGAGGTGTTTATTCCAATTACGTAGGTAACAATGCTACTGTTTACACAGTCTCATCTGGGGCCCATACAAGACAGATGCTTACAAGAACATGGTACTTTCAATTGTTTGTGTGCTTTATCTGATGCGGAACTTCAACAAGTTCTTCGATGAGAAGGATCTAGACTTATGACTGTCTTCTTATAGACACTATAAACATACAAAGGTCACATGTTTCAAACATTGTGCAGGAAACATTTGCATCGGCTCTGGTTGTTGGAAAGAGATATCTGTTTCATGTTTCATGAATGCTTCACAAATTTTCAGCTGACATTTCTGTAGCAACACTGTCATTGATAAAAATAGAGTCAGATGAAAATTTATGCGTTTTGGAAATATTCATGGAGAATTTTCTTCAAATTCATGACATTTTGATGAAGGATCAATCTCAAGAATGACCTTTCATGTATTACCAGAACAGATTCAATGAAAAATGCTTGGAAGTTCTTCAGTAATATTCTCCACAAATTCATGAATGTTTAAAATAAATGCTTTATGAAGATTTCTTGCAGTTTATGTATAATGCATTATCTCACTCCGGAGTTTAGTTGAATCATTTAATAACAAGAAATGTTGACAAATGTTAATATTTCCTAAAGCACACTGACAATGATTGAAGAACATGCATTTATTTCTTTGAATAAAACTGAAAAATACAGAGTGTTATGAAAAGTTGGATGAAGGGCCACAACAAATTAGCTTTGCTTCTGTCCTGTAAAGTAAGTTTTGGTTCCCATGGTAACATGAATATTCATATTTGGTGCTCCCTTTCAAGAGGTTATAACATTTTCTGCCTTTCTAGAGCTCACTATTAGGCTTTATGGGAAATGTAACGTTTATTAGAAAATATTTTACAGTAGAATTCATAAACTGAATACGCTGGCAACTCAGATAATTCACATGACCACGAAGCAGTTTGCTAATCATAAACAGCATTATATTACAGAGATGTTCTTCTAAGAGTTGTAAGTAACTGATTTAATGATCTCTTCACCTAAAATTGCTCCAATATACTGCAATGATAAGGTCTGTTTCTTCATGCAGAACAGACCCATGAATATCTGGGTAGAATGGGTCTTCAGTAGGGCTGGGACGAGTCCACATTTACTACCCGGGTACCCACACCCCTATTACCTGACCCTACCCGGGTACCCGCTGTTGGTGTCAAGAGATAGGTACAAAATGTCTGATTGGTAATAGTTTGACAGTAGCCCTGACAGAATGTATTTAGATACAGGTATAAAACAATGTGGTCATGCATACACTGAAGTTGACTGAAGCTTTAGCTTTGTTCAAACATATTTAAGTTAGAAGGAGCATGTTCATAGTCATGAAGAGTTGCGAACATTAGAGACTTAAAATTGTCATGTAACCATGTTGTTATACAGTGAATATTTGTCATGAAACAATATATCACGTGACTAACCACGGATCCGGGTAGTCCTGTGGGTACCCGGGTCCTACTCAGTACCCACCCGACCCGAGTTACCCATCCCAGCCCTAGTCTTCAGCAACCCATGCTTGTCGTAAGAGGCAACTAATGGGATCGGGTGGTCAGGCTTGGTTGATGCATGTCATCATACCCTTATTGTGTGGATCGATGCTCATGATGTCAATCACTGGATTGTCTGGTCCAGACTTGATTATTTACAGACTGCCATCATATTGCTGGAATATTCTGAGTTTGGCATAAAACAACAAACAAACAAACAAACAAACAAACAAACAAACAAACAAATCATGCAGAACATACTGATAAAAATACTCTTTAAGATGTCTGTTTTCTCAGTTGTTACAGGGAACTTGACTGAGCAGAAGGCATTTTGTAGTTAGATGAAAGCCAAATATTATTATTGGTAGCAGACTATCTAGAAATAACATGGCCAAGACATTGGCAACACACTGTATTTGAATAAAACCAATATGGAAGAACTTGGAGGCTTAGAGCAAACAATTAATCACTGCTGGAGTTTGGTCATCATTATTCGTCTTTTTTCTGTGGTACATTATGAGTGTTGCTTGAACACTCTCCTCGGACAATCCTCGGCAAATGCTGCTTGCTTGTTCAGCCAGTATGAAGGAAGAGGGATTGGTCCTTTCACACTACAGGGGCAATTATTGATTAGTAATTATAGACTTTCTACATCGTTTCACTTGCAAGGAAATTCCTACACACGGACCTCGCTTGTGGCCACAATTACGGCCAATGCATTTAAACAGAAAAAGTCTTTTGCAGTTTCCAATTGCAAAAAGTTCACAGTTTTCTCTTCTGTGCGACTGGTTTCTAGGGCGGATGGGACCAGTAATTGAGTTGAACCGCTGATGACGCTGTTTCATTCAGTTTGCAGATTAATTGCTTTTCTGAAAAGGTAACTACAACTCTCCAGTGTCTTCAAGTGAGGTTGAGCAACTGCTTTCTCTTGTCGATTAGTAGAGAAAGTTGCCTAAGTTGGCTCATTGAGTCTTTGAAGCAGGTCCTGGGAGGGGTATGTAAGAGTTTGGGGGATGGAGGCCAGATTGAGGGCTTCATCAAACTGTTGCAATGAATACCAACTAGATTTTTGTACTTAGAGCTCTGTCTTCATCATTATCTGATTGAAGTTTCATATTTGATATATTTTGTCCGTGTTGGATTTCGACATGTTTGAAGAAGGTATTTCCTAATGAATGCTGAGACTTCAACGTAAATAGTCAAGATCTTTGAAGCAATACATCAAACACACTGGATAGTGCTCTGAACATTAATACTTGTCTTGATTAGCACTGCTTGATCAGATATCATACACTTGGTGTACAGAAGAGTATTAAGTTGGGACTTTTCTTAATTACTTGGTTTTAGAGATTACAAGTGTGGAATAAAATTGATATTTTTGGAACAGTGTCTATTTTTTCCTCACTTTAGTTAAGTTATTTCAATCATGAATAAAATACCTTTGAATTGGTCAATGGTTAAGGGATGCACCACTTTGACTTATCATTCAAGAACACTTTTTCAGGTTTCTCTTAGTTCTTTTCACCAATGATTCTTTTTAGAATTCTTTGAAAATAGAAAGTTCATGCCGAAGACCCCGGTTCGATTTCCCACATGGGTGCAATGTATGAAGCTCATTTCTGGTGTCCCCTGACATGATGTTGCTGGAATATTGCTCGCTCGCTCGCTCGCTCACTCACTCACTCACTCACTCACTCACTCACTCACTCACTCACTCACTCACTCACTCACTCACTCACTCACTCACTCACTCACTCACTCACTCACTCACCAACCCACCAACCCACCAACCCACTCACTCACTCATTCACTCTACTGATATAAAAGAAGTGTTAAGTGTTAAGTGAAAGCACTCACTCAACACACTGGAGACCTGGGTTTGATTCTTTTCAAAGGTACAATGTCTGAAACCCTTTGCTGGTGTCCCCTGCCTTGATAATACTGGAATATTGCTAAAAGTGGCATAAAACCATGCTTACTCACTCACTCACTCACTAAAAGACTGCTAGCTATAGGGTGTCTGGCTCTGACTGTTACGTCCATACTGGAGCTCAGGTCAGGTGCGGGTGGAATCAAGACCAATGTTAAGGACTCCATTACCCAACCAGGGAAGGTAACTCATGCGCGTTGTGAACATGGACGAGAAACAGTACAGTCTGAACACATTTTTGCTTTGATGATTATTAGAAAAAAAGGACAATATTGATTGTGTGGCATATGACCATTGAATTTCGGCACTTGAGCCGGCGTTTTGGGATTTGGGTACTCGAGTTTTTATTCTACTTGTTCCCAGAAGCCAAATTGGTGGCTTGGGCATATAAATTACCCAATGCCTGTATGAGAATTGACACAATATTTCTGTACTGATGATGCTGTGTTTGTGTTTCAGGAATGTCCCACAGGGATTGTCAATGAGGAGACGTTCAAGGAGATATACGCTCAGTTCTTTCCTCAGGGAGGTCAGTATGACACGCCCACATGGTCAATGGACTTGTGAAGATTCATGGTAGAATAGGTCTTCAGCAACCCATGCTTGCTGTAAAAGGTGACTTCGCTTGTCGTAAGAGGCGACTAACAGGATCGGGTGGTCAGGCTTGCTGACTTGGTTGATACCTGTCATCGTATCCCAACTGCATGGATCAATGCTCATGTCAATCACTGGATTGTCTGGTCCAGACTCAATTATTCACAGACCGCCGTCATATAGCTGGAATATTGCTGAGTGCGGCGTTAAACAATAACCAAACAAAAAATTATCAATGACTTCTTGTCACCATCCAAAATCAATGATTCCAAATGAAATCTTAAAATGAAGATCTCCACTTTAAATCTGCTCATTGTTTAATGCATAAAAATGTGTTAATACCATGTTTCAAGTTAGGTTGAATTATTTATTCATCATGGAAGTCATTAACTGTCGTCATATCTTTTCACATCAGAAACAAAATCATGTAAAACATGTTATTATCATCTAGGTTTTTGTGTTCTTTGAGCCCAGTCCTTGTAAATCCACACCAATGTATCAAAGAATGGGCTCAATGTTCGTGTGACTGATGCATTTATCATTATCAAGTTGAACATGACTTTGTCCAAAACCATATCCCTCACTTCCTGTTGGCAGTCATCTGTGCCTCTCCATCTCAGCAGCATCAAGCTGGAGGCGACCTCATTCTTCTTTTAACACCAAGTTTGATATAAAAAAATGGCATAAAATTTGAAAGGGATTAAACATTTCATTGATTTCCTTCTCTCTTATAGCCGCAATTAATTATGTCTTGCTGCACGGAGGTTGCATGCACCTTTGATATAAACGGGATGAGAAATGGCTTGACATGGTCTGACGGAAATGACTGGGATGGAAGCTTGTAGGTTTTGTTGTTATCGATGGCCTGCCTGCCTTCAACATGGCTGCAAGTCAGGGATAACTGTCCCCCTGAAATCACCTCATTATTTCCGTACCTCCCAACCCGTGAGACGGTGTAAGACTTGTTAATGCTGTTATTTATGCTCAAATTCTCCATGGTTTGTATAAGATTTTCCTGTTTTAAGAAGCTTAATACGCCAGGTTTTCCAGCCCACATATAAAACCCACCCAACTTCTGAGTAAAGTGAACTTTGTGTAAACTTGAAAGGAGAAATACTCTTTTGATTTTCATACAATTGGTTTGGAAAGGTGCCAGATCCAATTTCTTGTTTGAATATGTTGTTGGATGTTGTAAACATGAGGTATAAATGTCCTGTTTGGTTTACAGTGGAGTTTTTACTGTGATAGAGTGGAGTTTATTTGAGGTATTTTTCCAGACACTGTCATGTTTTGTTTATACGGTTTTTGAAATATCTACTTAGAACAATACAATACCCTGAGACCCTCAGACATATCTCTTCTTTCAATGACATCTAGAGGTTGCTTTTGCCAATGCTGAATAACAAAATCAAAACCCTTAGTTTTTTTATCTGAAAGGGAAAACATTGTACCTAAAAAAATATCTCTTTCCTGACTGGAATACAATAATATCTCCTTCCATGGTGAGCTCTAAACACACCATCCAGGGAAATAATGCACCTGTAAAGATCAAGGGTAGAATAGGTCTTCAGCAACCCATGCTTGCCGTAACAGGCGACAGCTTGTCATAAGAGGCGACAGCTTGTCGTAAGAGGCGACTAACGTCATCGTGTCCCAATGTAGGTGCTTTAGTCGGACATGGAAATAGTGTATGCGATGGAAGCCATGTGATATGATGTCTGTGTGAATAGCAATACCTGTTTGTTAAAAAACCCAACAAGCTTTAGAAGCTAAGAGGGAAAAAACATAACTGAAGAAGAGAGAGTTAAGCAGATATTGATAAAGTTAAATAACACCCTATGTTTTCAAATGACTCTAGTTACATTGTCATATGACAGATTACCCATCATCATGAAAATATTGGGTGTTCTTTAACTGTTTTTAGTATATATATATATTCTAAGGCAATAGATATTGTGACGCAAGTTTGTATGTGAAAAGAATCCACATCACAAGAACTTTTGCCTTGGAGTTAGGGCTGGGAAGAATCAACAGTTTGTACCCAGGTACCCACACCGCTATTACCCGACCCTACCTGGGTACCCACCCCGCTATTACCCGACCCTACACAGGTACCCGTCTCGCTATTACCTGACCCTACACGGGTACCCACCCCGCTATTACCCGACCCTACACAGGTACCCGTCTCGCTATTACCTGACCCTACACGGGTACCCACCCCGCTATTACCTGACCCTACACAGGTACCCACACCGCTATTACCCGACCCTACCCGGGTACCCACACCGCTATTACCCGACCCTACCCGGGTACCCACCCCGCTATTACCCGACCCTACACAGGTACCCGTCTCGCTATTACCTGACCCTACACGGGTACCTACCCCGCTATTACCTGACCCTACACGGGTACCCACCCCGCTATTACCCGACCCTACACGGGTACCCACCCCTCTATTACCTGACCCTACACGGGTATCCATTCGCTAATACCTGACCCAACACAGGTACCCACCCCACTATTACCTGACCCTACCCGGGTACCCACCCCGCTATTACCCGACCCTTCACGGGTACCCACCCCACTATTACCTGACCCTACACGGGTACCCACCCCGCTATTACCCGACCCTACACGGGTACCCACCCCGCTATTACCCGACCCTACACGGGTACCAAACCCCGCTATTACCCGACCCTACACGGGTACCCACCCCGCTATTACCCGACCCTACACGGGTACCCACCCTGCTATAACCCGACCCTACATGGGTACCCATCCCGCTATTACCCGACCCTACACGGGTACCCACCCCGCTATTACCCGACCCTACACGGGTACCCACCCCGCTATTACCCGACCCTACACAGGTACCCACCCCGCTATTACCCGACCCTACACGGGTACCAAACCCCACTATTACCCGACCCTACCTGGGTACCTGCTACGTGGCCCTGGCAAAATGTATTTAGATACACTAAGAAAACGATCAGGTCATGCATACAGTAATGGTTACTGCATGAAGTTTTATCTTTTTTTCAAACATATAAAAGTCAGATGGAATGCGTGCATAGTCAGAAAGAAAGGGAACATTAGTGACTTATAGTATGACCATAGAGTTTTAGATAAGTTTTGTCATTAAAAAATATATCACGTGACTAGCCACGAGTCCGGTCAGTCCTCTAGGTACCCGGTTTCTGCTCAGTACCCACCCGACCCGAGTACCCGAGTTACCGGCCCAGCCCTACTTTGAGTATTTATTTATTATCTAACGGTATTTACATTTTTCAAAGATGGCTGGACAAAATAATGCCAACTACTTTTTGTGGCAAAAACTGGATGAAATAAGGTTATCTGATTTTTCAGAGTGGGCATTATGTATGATATGCTGATTTTCTTCACAAAAATGGCCAGATTCTATAATGAGCTGGATATTTTATGTTTGTTATCTCCCTTCCAGACTCCAGTGACTATGCCCATTACGTCTTCAAAACATTTGACCATGACAACAATGGTTCAATCAGCTTTGAGGTGAGTTACTTTCTTCATTCTGTGGTCCATTTGCCGCAGGCACTTCATTCTGTAGAGTTGTGTCCCTTAGGCATACAAGGATCCTATGATCCTATGTGAGAGTTCCTTATTGGCTTGTCACCATACCCATGCTCATAGGTTTCACTAAAGTGTTAACTTTAGACATGCATCTCATTGGGCTTACCTCCCACATTAAGCTGACATGCTGCTATATGTGTGGAATACTGTACAAATCTGTGTTCAATACTATTTCCATACATTTCTGAACTGAACAGGGTTTTTCCCCACTCTTAGGGACCAGTTATATAGTACGGGGGAGTGGGGGAGAAGTTTAGAGGTGTTTGATGCACTATTGTACTGAAAAATAATGATCCAATGACCCTCCCTTAATGCTTATCATATTTTCAGATGACCTTCCCAATGTTCTTTTACAGTTTATTCATGACCCTCCCTGAAAAGACAAAATGCAAAAGCAGTTTATATTTTATTGTAAAATGTTCATTTTTTTCAAGACTCCCAAAAGATGTGCATATGACCCTCTCCTAGAGACCGTCATATGTTTTGTTCCGATGTTTCTGTGAAAGTTAAACAGTTACATCCTTTCTCATTTTCTATATTTGTCACTGGATGTTTTGTTCTCTCTTCATGAATATCATTTTGGGTTGACGGATGTGTAATCCATGTTGTTAGAAAAATGCCTGCAATGATTTTTTGTTGGTTTCTAGGAGTTTGTAATGGGTCTGTCGGTGTTGTCAAGGGGCACTCTGCAGGAGCGGTTACAGTGGGCCTTCAACCTGTACGACATTAATGGCGATGGCATTATCACAAAGGATGAAATGTTAGACATTGTGTCCGCCATCTACGAAATGATGGGGCGGTACACGGAACCAGTCGTGGATGAAACGTCGGCCAAGGAACATGTAGAACGGGTATTCCAGGTAGGATGGCGTTCATGTGTTCCTGTCTGTACAACACCTGGGCGATTGTTGTTTTGAAGCATCAGTTACCAAAATTATGTCGGATTTTGACTTGTACCACATGTACCCTGTTGGTTTTTTTAGGTGAATAATTGACTTGCCTTTGCATGTGTTTTTGATGGATGCCACTAGTGGAGCAGACTAGCTCTTCTTTCGAGAACACCTGGCATCATCACTATTTGATAGTGATTCATAAAAACATGCTCATGATATAGTCAGAATGGTACAATGTACTCAACCTTAAGCAGAGATTTCTTATGATTATGGAACAGTAAAGTAGTTTGTTCCAGAAAATACTTGAAAAAAATAATTTGGACAACTCAAAATGTTTAAATAACAGCGACAAAACCCTTACCATAATCATAAAAAATCTCAGCTAAAAGCAGATTCCAACTACATCATTAGCATGTGTGTATGAACCACTATCAAATAATGATGATACAAGGGGTTCGCGAAAAGGTGAGTGTATCCTGCCCCGCCAGTGGCTCCTGGTACAAAGCTATGCTCACACTGTTGACCACTGGTTTCCCTGCTAGAGGCATTATCACTGTCTGGAATATGTCAGTATGTGGCATTAAGACCTACCCCTGCCTAAAAAGGGGATCCCCTGTAAAAGCCTTAAAAATCAATACTAATTTATATACCCTGTCTATAAAGCGAATCGGAATTAAGCACATCATCAGCCCATACATAATCCCTACATTTGCAATAAAAACTTGTTTGTCTTCTGCAGAAAAAAATTACATCGTATCCATTTATCATGAAAGCCCCCTAATTCTAGGTACGAAAAACATGCCTTTTAAAGCGCTATACGGTATTCAGTTTGTACAGTGTACTGATCAATAACTCTTTCATTTGTTGCAGAAAATGGACATGAACAGAGATGGTGTTATATCCTTAGAAGAGTTTATGGATACTTGTCGAAGGGTAAGCCTATCAGTGTGTGAGACACTTCCTGTGTCTTAAGGAAATGAACTAGCGTTGACCACATTCAACACTAATACAACATGGGTATAAGTAGATAAGTGAAGATAACAAAAAACTGCTACATCTGCCCAGTGTTACCCAACTTCAGTATGATGAAATTGTTAGCTAAATGATTAAATTGTTTTTCTTCTCCAGCTACCCTAATTTTAAATGTTGACTCAGTTATTTTTATCATTTTTTATTCAAATAAAGAAAAATATGAATTAATGTGGTAAGATATTCGTGTATGCTGAGTGATGAATGTGACATTGTATCAATATAAATTGTCAATGCATGAGAAACCAGATAGATTTTCTCCCGAAACTGATTCCATTTGGCTTAAAGGGCAAAACCAATGTATCTTGATCAATAGAAAAGTTTTAATCTGCATGCACTACTTCTTTCAGGATGAGAACATAACGAAAGGAATGGCAATATTTGACACAGTTCTTTGACAATTACCGAACAGTCCTAACGGTGGTGGAAGTGGCAGCAAGTTGTTCGAGCAACGTCTGGCTATTGAGGAGAAGCTACGTCTCGACACCATGGACCTCCTGTACATAGACCTGTAGCCCACCTGGCACTTCCACAGTTGCCACCGATAAAACTGCCCCTCATAGGGGTTGCAACAACCCCACCATCATGCTCAAAGCTGGCCCTTTGTCCCCGTTAAGGACTATCCCCCGTTTGATTCCCAGGAGAGGAGGTTCCCTTGCAGGGAATGTTGAGGAGAGAATAGTAGACTCCAGTACATTATCATTTCACATTCTTATGGATGGGCCGCGACGTGGTCGTTCCACGTCATTTCGATCCAACCTTTTATTCTGCACTCGCATGGATTTACCTTACGTACTAATGGCCATCTGATGACTAGTGTATCTTTGAGTAGCATCCAGTTGTATTCAGGAATGGGTGCAGGGTACAGGTGAAGGAAATAGCATCATGGGACACAAGGCAAGGAGATTCAGAAGTGGAAAAGGGGGTTGATGGATCAATCTGTTCCCGGAGCTTGTGAATATCAATTATGGTGGATGTGTTGTTGTTGTTACCCAGTTGAATGTGATAATTTAAAGATTTGCTGAAAAACAGATCCACCAGCAAGACTACCTCTGGTGTCTGTTTCAACAGATGTCTGCTGTGAATGGCGTCTGCTCCAACAGACGTCTGCCGTGAATGGCGTCTGCTCCAACAGACACCCGTCTGTTCCTTATGTAGTATACAGCCACTCATGACTCATTCCAAGAGAGGAGCGGAAGAGCCCCTTTAACAAACATAACAGTGTAGCAGTAAGTTCAGTGACGACAAATGGTGACCCCCGGAATGTTGTCCAGGAAGTGTGTGTGTCATGGACAGATTTCAAACTGGTTCAAAAGATCTTTACTGCCTGTGCGTCTCACAGAGAAGTTCAGTCCATGTTAAGGTTTTGACATTATTATTGGGGGGAGGGATGACTTGTATGTGTTTCAACTGAATGAAAAATATACATGTCCACTTTTTTACCTTGTACAAGTTACTAATTAACAGTATGAACATTGAGAACCACTCTCTGATATCAGTGTTTGTCATATGTAACCCTACTCATCACAGCACAATATGCCCTTACTCTGTTGTCCTATGTGGTCTGTCATGGCCAGCAGCCATATTGTTCCTGTTGTCATGGAGACAAGAGTATCAGATGCCTACCAGAAGGGAGATCCACACATGACCTTGTTGGGTAACCGCCTATTGTTAAGATTTGCCCTATCCATATCTAAGTAGGCAGTGTTGGTATTTCTTGTTGTAGTGATTCTTGAGAAGTTAAAACGTCAAATATTAAAGTTCTTCAAAGCTAGATTTCAGCAAACTGAAGAAAATAAAAGGTGTTGTTAATTTTACTGTTCCAAAGTTAATAGAATGCAAAAGAAGTTAATGATGGTACTTTTTCTCAGTGAGCATAGATGTTTAGCTTGAACAGATCCTATATAAACCATGTTCGATCAGAGCTGATGCAACATAGGTTTATATGTTACATGATACAATGTCAGAAGTGTACTATGCCAGATAAAAGATATACACAAATGCACATGGATTTTCTGTGTGTTCAGATATGACAATGTCAGAAGTGTACTATGCCAGAGAAACATTATATACAAGTTCCCATGGATTTTCTGTATGTTCAGATATGACAATGTCAGAAGTGTACTATGCCAGAGAAAAATTATATAAGTTCCCATGGGTTTTCTCTATGTTAAGAGTTGACACATGAAACTTTATCTTTACTTGTTAAGAGTCTAGCTATTTGACTTGCCATTGGCTGTCTTGTACAAATATATACAAGTAGGTTAGCCAGCATGTACAGATATCATTTCATCAGAAGTTTGATGTGACGCACAGCTTGTCACATCCCAACTGACCCTGTCACCCTTCAAGTTACACACCGAGAGTCTGATGGTGGTCACAAGATGGACCTAATTGTCACACAAATATGTCATAGAAACTATTTCTTTGTAACTTCTGAACTCATGAGGGTAAATGTTTTGCATGTATCAATAGCGGGAACTTTGGTGTACTCCCCACAACCTTGGACCTTGTGTAAAAATATTAGACATAAACGTCCGAGAATAACCAGTCCTGATTATATGTTCAAAGAGATTCCACTGGGCATAAAAGTGAGAATTATATGAATGGATCACTGAAAATTGGTGATGACACCAGGTGCTCACAAAAAGGGTAGGCCTGTCCATTCAGCTTGTAAAATCTTGTACACCCATGATACATGGAACTGGTGCCCCTGTCTACATCACTTCCTGTCTGTTTACATCACTTCCTGTCACATGACATCTAGACTACCCCTCTCCACACAGACAAAGATGGACCTCAAGTTCTTGCCCTTGTTTGCTAATTGTTTTACACAACGTTGGAAACTAATGATATTTCTAAAACCTGATGAAGTGTGAGACATGAACATATGAGTGTTTTGTTAATGCACAGTAATGTATAAAAGTAAAATTAAAGATAAAGAAGTTATGTCGATATGTATGTCTATCAGAGTATTTTTAAAATATTTTTAAGTATGTTGCAGAGTTTATGTGAGTTGACAGTGTATAAGAAAAGGTGTTTATTGGATGATATTAACCATTGGCTTTGCTGTCGGAGTTTGTTAGAGACCAACTTGTCATACCCTACTGACATTCCCAACATGTGTTTCGCGAACAGCAGTGGCTGTACCAGACAAAACCGCATGTCCCAATCCTAAATCATGTAGAACTACCGGGTACCCAGTTTTCTGCTGTTACTATGGAGATGATTATTAACTCAGGTGCCAATCAAATGTGTTTAGGAGATATGAGAGCTAATAGTCTTTCATAACGATGCCACTATGACAGCTTTGTTTCAGTGTATATATAGCAACAAATATATAACTATGTTTTAGATGCAAATAATAGAATTATAGGTAAGTATGGGTTAACATTTGTAAATATAAAAATGATATTATTTAAGAAATGTTGACATTAAGTACATTTTTTAATAAAAAATAAAGCTAAAAAAATAGTTTTTCTCATAAAAGAATTTTCTGCTTATACTGCAGCCAATATCATATTTTCCTGTAAACAGCTGCATAGGTAGATGTGTGCCATAGAGAGATTCTCAAGAATAGCAGGAAAAGATTGTATCATTATGTGTATCTAATTAAGAGTGTTAGTATTTTAAACATTGCACGGGTTCTTATAATAGATTGAGGCATGGTTGTTATAGGCGAGAGTGTCCTAAGAATGGTCAGAAATATTTTAGATTGTAGCTGTGAAGATGATATAATATTTCATATTAATTACTTGGTTTACAGATATGATCCACAATATTTAATAAAGATGTAGTATAAAGACAAAAGTCCCTTATTCTACCAGAGGAAATTGTAAACTGATTTAGTTAACAGAAAATGTTCAAACTATGTCAGTAATTTAGCAAAAAACCTTTTTGCTTTGACCCACATTCCAAAATTATTGTTTTTTGTTCCTTAAGGCATTATATTTAACTGTGATCCAACAGAAAAAATAATGGCCTTATTTCAAGCACCAACCTTGGATTGCCTGTTTTCGAAGATCTGTAAACCAAGTGATTTAGAGACCTGAGTTTCTTTGGCCTCCAGCCGATACAGTCAGCATGCTTCCTGAGAGTCTTTGAGTACTGTAGAATCTACTTGTGCTGTTGGTAATTTTTCTTGGTTTACGTAGAGACAGTATGTTGTCAGAGTGGACAAGGAAAGGAGAAGATTGTACTGAAACATTTTCAAAGTTGCTATGAAAATTTCTTGATATATAGATCTATTTAATAGTTTCATGAGGTAAACATTTTAAGATTTGCGAGTATTTCTAAGAGCTTGTATGGGTCTGGTATTGCTCCTTTGACATCGAAGCTGCCCTGGTTAAACACTGAGCGGTATAGCCCCCTGTATATTGCCCATCCCCTTCTTGATCAACAAATCACTCCCTTGGAACATCATCTGTACCAAATTCCAAGATTTTAGATTTCAATTTTTTCTAACTTCATAACAATCTAGTCATCACTTGCTGTAACATAATGCTGAATTGGTGTATTTTACCACATTTATATAAACTCACGTTTCCACGACGTTCCGTGCTCCACCGTGTCTCCGATATATACTTCCTTCACAAACTGCCCTTTATCACCATGGTAACATCCATTGTACATATGCTCTACTGTCTATACACTGCTCAATGCTCTCTACTCTAAGCTCTCTAATATGACTGAATTATTCATATAACCTTTATACTGAACATGCATTTGTGTAGTCGTCAAAGCCCTATGCTCTGTGTTCTTCAGAAGGTGAATGGTCAATGCTGTCCTCTCAAGTCAAAGCTCTGTATTTTATTCTGTGAAGTATGTAATTTATGCTCTGTGCTGTAATGTACTGTTTCTATGCGCTACAGTGCATGCTTTATTTCGTGTGGTCTGTATTCTATACTTTATGATTACATCTCTCATAAAACCTGTGGACTATGCTGAAAATGCATCATTTCCTATACTCAATACTATTCATGGATGGCCATATTCTCAGTGCTCTCTACTGAAGGCTCTACATATCCTCTGCTATAAAGTCTATATATCATATGCAATGCTGTATAGATTCTATGGCATAAGAGGTATATATCATAGACTACGCTCTGTTGATATTATGGTATAACATCTATCTATCATAGACAATGCTCAATAGATCCTTTGGCATAAGGTCTATATACCATAGGCAACACTCTATAGATATTATGGTATAACATCTATATATCATGGACAATGCTCAATAGATCCTATGGCATTAGGTCCGTATATCATAGGCAGTGCTTTAATGCATTTTTTGTACTTAATGCTCAGTACTCCTTACAGAGCTTTCTAAGTATTACCATTGTAAAATGTGACGTTGCTGCTGCAGGAGATGGTGCCTAGGGCTGTTCGTCTCCAGGGCATCCTCTCAGAGCAAATCTAGAAGTCGTGTTTTCTGTTTCCTGTTTGATATTTATTCTTACAGTAGCTGAATGCCTGAATCGGTCATGTCACTGTTCTTTGTCTTGGATGTTTGGTTGATGTTACTACCATGTTATGTGGGGGCATGGGAGGTCTGAAGAAGCACAACAATTTACTGTGTAGAAATGCATCCCTTAGCCATGCCAAAATCTGCCAATCTTGGGTTTGATTATCAGCTTCATTGTGATTATGATCTGTGGCCTGTCAGACCAATGCCCATGTGGAGTTCACCAAAGTGTACCAAAAGACCTGATTCACTTTGTGCTTTCCTCCCACTCTAATTTTGACATGATATATTTTTGTTCAGATTTTAACCCAATTCTCATGATATATATTCATTGTTTTGGTAACGAGGGTTTATTCTTTCACCTAATTCTCTTTGGGCCAGCTTTTCCTGCTCCTGTTTGTAGGTGAAGGTCACTGACTAGTAGTAATTCTTACCCATTGTGATGTGCTCCAGGACCAATTCATCACTCCACTTCAAATCCTTGTTTAAACTTGGCAAGAAAGATCATCGGTAGACATTCTGGTACAATGATGCAAATATTGACAAGGATTGAGAAAGATCCTGTCTTAAATTGTCTTAATATTGATTCTTGTCTTTTCAATTCTGATTTAGTTTGTGTCAGATTGGTGTTATTTGATTTGGTTAAGTACTCTTTCTCCTCCGTGCTTTCACTACGAGTATGTTACTGCTTTTCAATCTCCTTAGTGACTTTACTTAGAAATGGGTTCCAAGCTCTCCAGTAAATACCTTCCCACTGCTTGGATCCCTGATTCCACTCCATCACTCCAGCAGGTTGAGCTCCACTCCATGTGGCGTGGATGTCTTAGACCTCACTATGCACCAACATCACTTCTCCACCCTAGCTTCAAATATTTTGACATTTTTCCATTGATTTGTCAAGATATTAAATTAAACAAATAAAATGTTGAATTTTACACATTGAACTGTGGTTTATGTTATTTTTTGGAAGAATATTTTTGAAGATGTTTCACCTGGTTTGTGATTCAGGTTCACAACAAACTTTAAGGAATCACTAGTCTCCTACTTTTAAAACTTACTGTTTGTTGTTTAATGCCACATTCAGCGATATTCCAGCTATATGACGGTCGTCTGTAAATAATCAAGTCTGGACAAGACAATCCAGTGATAGAAATCATGAGCATCGATTTACTCAATTGGGAAACGATGTTATGCATCATCCAAGTCAGCGAACCTCAGCACCTGATCTCATTAGTCACCTGTTACGACAAGTCGCCTTTTACAGCAAGCTTGGTTTGCTGAAGACCTATTCTAACCCAGATCTTCACAGGGACATTCTTTTAACATACATAAGTGGTTTATTTTTTTGTTTTAAGCAGCAATTTCAAGATTTACAGTTGTCTGTAAATAATATGATTCTGATTGGGTCAGGCAAGTTGTCCGTAAAAAAATCTTGATTATCCAGTGTATAGGATCTGAATCTCTTCTGATAAATACCCCAGACTCCTTCATACCCACATCCTTTTAAAAGGTTCCATTTACTCCACAATAAAAATAGACATCCAATCAATTTATACCATTCTTTCATAATTGAAACAAGCAGGATATGATAAGTACTCAATTGGACTTGTGTTGTCTCAAATACAATTAGAACGTCGACTATGCTTGTTGTAAGAGGCAACTGACGGGATCGAGTGGTCAGGCTCGCTGACTTGGTTGATGCATGCCATCGATCCCAATTGCGTGGATCCATGCTTATGTCAGTCACTTGATTGTCTGGTCCAGTCTCGATTATTTACAGACCGCCATCATATAGCTGAAATATTGCTGAGTGCGGAGTTAAACAACAAACAGACAAACAATCACTGGATTGTCTGGTCCAGACTCCATTATTTACAAACAAATAAACAAACAAACAAGGACAAGCCAAAGGACATTCTTCCTCTTACTTTGGAATCAAGAAAGCATCTTTTCTCTGATAAAAATCCTATGATATTTTGAAGGGTCACTTCCAAAATGGAGCTATAGTGTAGAATAGGTCCAGGGTTGGTTGGTTGGTTTGTTGTTTAATGCCGCACTCAGCAATGTTCCAGCTATATGACGGCGGTCTGTAAATAATCGAGTGTGGACCAGACAATCCACTGATTGACATCATGTGCATCGATCCACTCAATTGGGATCGATAACATGTATCAACCAAGTCAGCGAGCCTGACCACCCGATCCCGTTAGTCACCTCTTACGACAAGCACAGTCGCCTTTTACGGCAAGTATGGGTTGCTGAAGACCTATTCTATCCTGGAATCTTCATGGGTCGAATAGGTCCAGGGAATGTATTCACACAGAATGGCGATGTAATTCTCTGGATGAGTGTGACAAACCAGTGGTCACAGCTGGAGCAATGACCCTGGACATTGGAGCAGGACAACACCCACTCGGCAAGGTCACACCATCACAGTCATAACATGTACATGCAGTTCAAACCGAACGAAGGGGGCATGGGTGTCGTGCAGAGTTGCGTCCCTGGGGCATGCCAGATACCTGTGATTTTGGGTTCGAATCCCGGTTCGCCCCCATTATGTTTCAAGTTTTATCAGCACCATACCCGTGATTTCGGGTTTCACCTAAGTGGTAAATGTGAGGTGAAATTGGGTTTAACGTCGCGTCCAAGATTATTGCACTTATATAGCGACGTGCCGTGTATGTGTGTGTGTGGCTGCTTGTACTAGTCCGGACTGATGCCGATTTATAGTGCTAGCTCACTGAGATACCATGCCGCAGTTTAACATGAATACCCCACTCAGACACAGTATACTGACTCCGAGCCGACCAGTCCTTGTTTTAGCCGAGCGCCAGACAGGGTAACAACAAGTACCATCTTTTAACGTCTTTTCGCATGACTCGGCCGGGGATCGAACCCTGGACCTTCCGCTCTCCGGGCGGACGCTTTACCACAAGACCACGGAAGCGGTCGTAAATGTCTGAGACCTGCATCACTTCGGGCTTTACTCCCACATTAAGCGGACACTCACTCACTCAAACCAACCGAACTGGGGTCTAACTGGACTTGTAAGATTTCATTGAACCTGTTTAGCGTACTAATTACAGAGAGACAATATGCCAGTGGCAGTTAGCTAGAGACTCTTCATGGGTTTTCCCCTCACACAACTAACACAACATGTATGACTGCAGTACTATACAAATAGTTACTCTGGATATGCGAAATGAAGGACCCAAGAACCCGACCTCTAGGTAACCCGACCTCTAGGTAGTCTGACCGCCGAAGGGAGGGGCCCGAGGATCCTTCATTTCACATATTGACCTCTTCAAGAGTAATCATTCGTTTTGTTATTCCGAGATTCACTTTAAAGTTTATGAAGCAATTAAACCGTCCTCTGTTTCATTACAACTTAGCTGCGAACCGTAAGATGTTGATATACCAGGCACCATCTTATTTTCTAGCAGACGAGTCAAAATTCATCACATGATAGGACAAAACTGATCATATGACAAGTCAATATTCGAGGTCAGTGTTAGTCACATGAATTGAGGGTCTACATTGAAATGTATTGTTTCGTCACGTGTACGGATTTACCAATGAAACTGAAAGATTGTTAATAGAGGTATAGCAATGTTAAAGTAGCCTTAAGCCACAATCAACTTTTTTACACATTTTATTGTGTTGTCTAGACCCATACTGCTAGTCACAGGTCCAGTAACAAGCACCTGTAGTGTGCAGGTATAGCAATGTTAAAGTAGCCTTAAGCCACAAACAACTGTTTTACACATTTCATTGTGTTGTCTAGACCCATACTGCTAGTCACAGGTCCAGTAACAAGCACATGTAGTGTGCAGGTATATGATTTAGATTTCAAAAAGCCAAGTCAATACACATGGAAGCAATTTTAATGTGTACCTAGTACTCTCGCCATGGCCATGAATAAGAACACTGTCTAGAATAAGAACATCCAGATCAACAAGGCATAAGTAGATTGTAAAATTCCTCTATTGACATACACCTTGAGTTCATCTCCAGCACTTCTGTATTCTCTTACATCTCAATCTTCCATTGATCGTTAATGTCCATAACCTTATGAAATGTTGACACAAGAACATCATGGTTGGCCAAATCATCTCAGGTTGTCAGAGCATGAAGCACATAGGATGCATGTGTCAAACAGAAGCTTCACCATGACATTCCAAAATACAGGAACTCCATCTGAATCCCAAGTTGAGAAAGGTCATCACAGTGAGTTACCATGGGAAGGTGCAAGGAAGGAAATCAGAAGCAATTGTCAACTAGTAATCTTGTGAGAATACTAAACGTTGTATGGCTTTGCTGTTAATGGTCTACTTAGCACTGATTAGTCCACGTGTAATGAGGAGACATTAATATTGAGTATTATCAATGTACATTAATTCACTCAGGACGAAGGTCATACTTCCGAGTAGGTTATTCTGTATTATATCCATAGCATTTTTATTGAGAAAATGTCGAAACATATGGGCTTCCTGGTCCCAGACTGACACCTCAGCTCAGTTCGTCATATGTTGGAAGTACGTCACAAAGGTGTGACGTCATGAACAATGGTTGACGTCATCTTCAAGTGTTTGCAACCATGCTTTCATATGACGCCACGTTACTTAGGGCCTCTTCGCGAACAGTGGAACAACTGGTACGACCTAGCCAGCTATTTATAATGCTCACCGGGATTATTACTGTGACTAATTTCACCTTTATGTGCCTCTGTGGGTAATATCCGCTATATAAGATAGGTACGTGATAAATCGCAAAGAACAGTGAAGAACATTGTTCTATCATGGCGTCATTTCCGGAGATTGGAACACGCGCTCGAAACTTGATGACATCGTAAATTGGACAACGTTATTTTTAGAGGGAGGTGTCCATTGAGTTGTTCCCCGTAGATGTAGCTGGGCAACGTAGATATATACGCGATGACCGAACGATCGCATCCAAAAGTGAGACAGATAATTACGACAATCGGTCCTGGGAGAAAGGGTACAGGTAATCGACGTGAAGATTGTGAGAATATGCGGGAAATATCCACCTGGGCATAAAATGGACTTGTCCGACATTGCCGAGGTCGGATTCCATTGAGGAAGTCATCATTATTAAAGTACAGTTACATATATTTAAAGCTAGTACATTTTATCATCATCATCCTTAAAGAGGCTGTGCCCCTCATGGTTTATTCTCCCTGCAGTTGTTTATTATACGATAAACACCTCCCACTCGTTTATTTCTTATATAACAGCACTCTAAATACAGACACGTAGTTACAACTGCGGTGACCGGCAGTGTGCAGCTGATCCTTGATCCTCCATTTCCAATTCCGGTGATTGAACCTTTTATCTCAGAATTATTTCAACACTTGTCAGTCCAGTTAGTCCTTAATACTGTGGACTATAGTTTCAACTTAAACTGGTTTCGTTGACGATCAAACACAAATTCACAGATTGTACCCACGCGGGAATCGAACCAGGGTCCTCGGTGTAACGAGCGGACGCTTTAACCAAGCAGACTTCCTAACTGTAAATCTTTATAAATCACCCACAGAGCGACCGCAACCTACGATTACAGTAGGTCAGTGTTAAAATATGGGAGATATATACGACTGTCGAGAATCCTTTTTTTTGTCACGCCGCAATCTCCAACTGAAATTTAGGACCGAGAGGGTTTCTGTGTTGCTCCGTTAGGACTCCTTTTCAAGTTCACTCCTAGAATTACTAACGTCACTTTTTTTTAATCGAGGTTTTGCGCAATGGCATTGCCATGATTGGGAACATGAAATTATTTCGTCAACGAAAACACAACTCGACTGGTTTAATCAGAAGAAGATGGGGATTGTATTTGGAGAAACAACACGGCCGTATCAGGAAACGTTGAAGTTGGCTTCGTTGCTGTTTTCATTTATCGCACCAATTTGGAGTCGTTGTTTCCCTTG